GTTGGTGGGGTGGGATTTGTATCTAGTTGCCTTGGTGGGGTGGGGCGTGTATCTAGTTGATGGGGCGGGGTGGGGGTTTTATCTAGTTGGTGGGGTGCCGTGGGTGGGCTTTATACCATAGAAGGTTGGAATTGAATACCATAGAAATTGTTATTAGAATTTCTTTTTAATAAAAGTTTTTTTTACAATTTTTAAAAAGTGAATTGCATTTAATGATCTAAACTATGTTTGCCTGTTATATATTCTTGTATAACAGTGTTTTATCAAAGTTTTTATGTTACAAATTTAATAGATTGTAGTATTTTCTAAATTTCTTATCAGGAAATGTCACCAAATGTGTTTACTCATATCCATAGCTTCAGGAGTGGCATCCATGTATGCACTTCCGTATCTTACTTCGTGTCTTCTGCTTGCGTTGGCGCGCGATGGAGGATGGCAAGGCCTGTCTCCTGTCCCTCATCCTTTACTTGTGTATCTTACTCCGTGTCTTCTGCTTGCGTTGGCGCGCGATGGAGGATGGCAAGGCCTGTCTCCTGTCCCTCATCCTTTACTTGTGTATCTAACTCTATCTTCTGCTTGCATCGGCAGGCGATGGAGGATGGCAAGGGCAAGTACGGCTGTGAGTGTGACTGGTGGTCGCTCGGCGTCTGCATGTACGAGATGCTGTACGGGGAGACACCCTTCTACGCCGAGTCACTCGTCGAGACATACGGCAAGATCATGAGTCACAAGGTGAGTCCTGTCTCAGGCAGTGGGAGGGAGGGAGGGGGCGTCGAGACATACGGCAAGATCATGAGTCGCAAGGTGAGTCCTGTCTCAGGCAGTGGAAGCGAGGGAGGGGGGCGTCGAGACCTATGGCTTGTTCGGGAGTCACAAGTGAGTTCTGTCTCAGGCAGTGGGAGGTACTGGTAGGGATGGGGAGGATGGAGAAAAGAATCGAGACTTTTGACAAGATCATGAGTCACAAGGTGGGTCCTGTCTCAGGTACTGGGAGACAGGCCGGTGGGCAAGGAGGGGGTGGGAGTAGGGAGGAGGGGAGGGGAGGAAGGGGGAAGGGTTGTCACCTACAGCAAGGTCATGAGTCACAAAGCAAGTCCTATCTCAGGCAGTGGGAGGGAGGGTGGGAGTAGGGATTATGGGGAGGGGAGGAAGGGGAAGGGGAAGAGGAGGGACACCTACGACAAGGTCGTGAGTCACAAGGTGAGAGTCCCGTCTCACGAGGAAAGAGTGGGGTGGGGAGGTGGAAGAGAGGAGGTAGGAGCCGAGGGAGGGCGGAGATTTAGGACAATGCCCTGATCATTTTTAAGGTGAGACACGCATTGGGAAGGAGGTGGGAGTGGTAAGCAGTAGCGCAAGGTGGGAGAGTGAGGATCATAGGGTGGATAGATTACTGTTCATGGTAAAAGTTTGGATGGCGTTTGGGCTCTATTCGACTTGCAGTGTAAAATTGCCCTCAAACAGGTGCGTGTTTCAAGCAAAAAATAATTATGCTGTTACGATAAAACGGTTTATTGCAAGCGAATAGTAAATCGCAAAATTAAAATCACTGCAAAAAAGTACGGTAGCTCGCCAGCTCCCGCCGATGCAGAAATCTCGCTACCATGGGGCAAGTCTAGGAAAATTCGTCGACAGTTAGCTGTCTATGCAGAATCTTTATTCGCGATCACTAATGATCGATCTACAAATTAATTCACAATCGGACGTCTTGGCGTGTGTTAATCAATCGAGCCCGTCCCATCCTGTATCTAGTACCGTCAGATCTGCTCGGGTGTATAAAGTTCATGCGGGGGAGAGGGCAAACAGGGCAAACATAGCTTTAGCTCTATGATTGCTGTTTGCTTTCATTGCGCACGTAAAAGCGCCGACTGTGCCGCCGTGTGTGCACATTAAATTCTTCATAGGTGAGCGCGCGCGTATGGGCGGTGGGGGCAGGTGCCATCACACCTGTCGGTAGGTCATCCGTGTAAATAATTGATGTGTGGGTGGAGTGTTTGAGCTGGCGGGTGGTGATGGTACATTATACTGTACGAATAATTCGTGTAATATCACGTAACTCCTCCCTTTCCCAGTAGGAAATACAGAATTAGTGTTTTCTTTACTGGTGTTTTGGGTGGTTGAGGGGGTGGGGGTGAGTGATGGTACACTGACCAAGGTAATAACAGATAACACTTTGCCTGGTGGAGAATATATCACCTGAGGTAAACCGTCAGTGTTTACCTCAGGTGATATATTCTCCA